TTATACTTGCGTATACTTTACACCCACTCATATCATCCCATCTACCTTGACTTCCAGAGAGTATCATCATTTCTATGTTTATCTCTCCTCTCTTTCCTCTGGATGAGCCTGTGCACCCTAAAACCCTATACCCTAAAACCCTACAACCCCATAACGTCCACCTTGACTTTCAGGCAGTATCATCAGCATGTGGCTTGCTTCCAGTAAGCTGTGTACGTTAACGTTGGTCATTGTACCGCTAATGGTTGCCATTGGGTCGTCCATGGGTACGGCTCTAAGAGCTCTGTCTGCTAAAGCGTCGCAACAGGTGTGTGTGTCTACGTCTGTGCGTGCGTGTATGTGGCTATGCATACGTCGGTGTATCTACTTTTACACCTATATAGGATGTATTTCAATTTGTACCTACAAATGATGGACCTACTTTTGTACCTACAAATGATGTACCTACTTTTGTACCCACAAATGATGTACCTACTTCTATACCTACGAATTGCTGTGTCTGTTTTATTTGGTGTCCCTGTTATAACCGCCAATTCGGCGTATGTTCGCCACATGGCGACTTTTGATTTGTGCATGATGACTCATACTAACACCCTACACATGTGGGCTGCACGTGTTGGTGTCCATGTTGTGCGTGCGTTGTGGTGGTAATTGCCTTGTGCGTAGTTTTCTATTTATCTGTCATAACTGACACCTCATTATCTATATATCCTTTTGGGCCAGACATGTGTATTCATCCCATGTTCGTTTACCTTAGTCCTGATTCTTTACTAGTACATTATTATTTATATATCCGTTTGTTGCAGTTAGATATATTAACACCTTGTTCGTTGTGCTTGTACAAGTGGTATTGGTTACTTCCATTGCTTATACCTCATTATTTATGTATCCGTTTGTTGCAGTTAGGCATATTAACTTAACACCATGTTCGTTGCCCTTGTTTAGGTTGGAGTGGTTACTTCCATTGCTTATACCTCATTATTTATATATCCGATTGTTACAGTAGATATATTTAACACCCTGTTCGTTGCCCTTGTTTAGGTTGGAGTGGTTACTTCCATTGCTTCTGCCTCATTATTTATATATCTGTTTGTTGCAGTTAGGCATATTAGCACCATATTCGTTGTGTTTGCACAAGTGGTATTGGTTACTTCCATTGTTTCTACCTCATTATTTATATATCTGTTTGTTGCAGTTAGGCATATTAACACCATGTTCGTTGCCCTTGTTTAGGTTGGAGTGGCTACTTCTGTGGCCCAAGAGAGTGTCGGAAACATACGCACTGTGCGTGCATTCGCCACTGAAGATCAGGAGAAGCGCCTGTTCTCCCAGGTGTGTGGTGTGATGATGTATAGTGCTTTTTTATATACTTTAGACATAGGTTTGTCTAGGGTCTTATCATATGGATGTATATATATATATATATATTTGGTTGATACGTATATTCTCCCAGGTGTGTGGTGTGGTGATGTATAGTGTTTTCTTATATACTTTAAACATAGGTTTGTCTAGGGTCTTATCATATGGATGTATATATATATATAAATATAAATAATTGGTTGATACTTTTGTTCTCCTAGGTGTGTGATGTGGTGATGTATAGTGTTTTTTATATACTTAAGACATTGGTTTGTCGTAGGGTCTTATCTTATGGATGTATATATATATATATATGGTTGATACTTATGTTCTCCCAGGTGTGAGATGTGGTGATGTATAGTGTTTTCTTATGAATACTTTAGGTGTAGGTTTGCCTAGAGTCTTATCATAAGGATATATATATACGCTTGTGTAGTTCGACGACAGGCTATACATGTTAATGGGATTGCCCTGCCACTACAAGTGTAGTAATATTGAGAATAAAGCATCGTTGGTATTTATATGTATGCGGGTATTTGTTAGTACGTTTGAAATGACAGCGTAGTGTATATGTGTTCAATGCTGTACACACACAGGCAGGACTGCATGGGTGTATGTGTGCATTTGAAACCCGATGCTCTACAATGTAGAGGCACTACATTGTATAGTCAGACACAACACGTGTGTCAATCATACGTCAAGCGAACGGCTTTCTCTCACCGCCCAAATTTTGGAAATAGGAATGCGGCAAGGCCGCCTATATCAACCAATATTTGGGCCTAGGAATCGGCATTTTCCAGGGGATGTCTAATTTCGGCATCAACACCATGGCTCTCATGGTACTGTACTACGGAGGAAAGATGTGCGGCCAAGGCGAAATCACTGGCGGTGAGCTCATGGCATTCCTGGTTTCAACGCAACAGACACAACGGTATGCAAGCGCCTATATATATCTATATCTATATATCTATATATCTATATACAGATATATATATACAAATATAAATATAAATATACATATATATATATATACATATATATATGTGTGTGTGTTTGTGTGTTTGTGTGTTTGTGTGCCTATGTGTGTGCGTGTGTCTGTGTGCGCAGGGTGCATGTGTAGGTATCCGCAGTTTGCCATAGACAACGCGGTGCTTCTGTCTGCATATTTATTCGTGTGTTGTGCTGTGTGCCCCAAGGCCAAGATTTGATTAGGGTGAAAGTGTTCGTGGCGAGAATATGGGTTTCTATATATATATATATATATACGTATATACATGTATATATATATATATATATATATATATATATAGTATATATATATTATATATATATATATGTGTGTGTGTGTGTGTGTGTGTGTATATATATATATATATATATATATATATGTAT